TGTGGAGAAATAGGAACGCTTTTACACTGTTGGTGGCAGCATAAATTAGTTCAACCATTGTGGAAGACAGTGTGGCGATTCCTCAAGGATCTAGAGCTAGAAATGCTATTTAACCCAGCAATCCCATTACTGGGTATATACCCAAAGGATTATAAATCATTCTACTGTAAAGGCACATGCATACATACGTTTTTTGTGGCACTATGTACAAAAGCAAAGACTTGGAACCCATCCAAATGTCCATCAATGATAGACTGCATAAAGAAAATGTGGCACATATACACCATGGAATACTATGTAGGCATAAAAAAGGATGAGTACATGTCCTTTGCAGGGAAATGGATGAAGCTGGAAACCATCATTCTCAGCAAACTAACACAGGAACAGAAAACAAAATACTGCATGTTGTCTCATAAGTGGAAGCTGAACAATGAGAACACATGAACACAAGCAGGGGAACACCACATACTGGAGTCTATCGGGTGGTGGAGGGCTAGGGGAAGGATTGCATTGCAAGAAATACCTAATGTAGGTGACGGGTTGATGGGTGCAGCAAACCACCATGGCACATGTGTACCGATGTAAGAAGACTGCACATTCTGAACATGTACCCCAGAACTTAAAGTATAGATAAACCATTGAAGTTGGTTATAGTTATATTTATCAGCCTATTGTTCTTTTATATTTGCTGTGTTTTGTATTTCTGCTTGAGATTACATTGAAATAATCCACTTTTTCTGGGTTTATATTGGTTTCAGCTTTTATGCTTAATTCTGGAATTTATTTTGCTATAAGGAATGAGATAGGTATCTAATCGTATACTTTTCCAAATGGGTAGCCAGTTGTCTTGATACACTTTATAGAATAAATCCTTTATCAGTGCTTTGCTGGTAAATTGGGATCCTGTATTGTATTTTAAAGTTAATTTGTTAGAGTCACCTTATTTTACTTGTAAATTTTTACAAGAAGCAGTGCACTTTGCAATATTCTTATTTTAAGAAAAGATGTATAGTTATTTTATATTCGTTGAGTTAATTAGAGCTCTATCAGTCAATTATATCAGGATTGGTGGGTAGAATTAACAAGCATAGAGTCTTTTTATAACAAGCATAGAGTCTTACCTCCTGTTTTAATTGGGATTGCCCAAAAAGCAGACCCAGAGACAAGGATTTAGGTAGAGTTAGTTTTTGGGGGGAAGCACAAAACAGGGTAGACAAATGAACATGTTTTCTCTGTGTACAACTGGAGCC